GCAGCCCGCCTTTTTTTTTCTTTTTTTCTTTTTTCTCTTTGAGCGGTGCATGTAGCGAAAGCTAGGAGCGCGAGCTCATAGCGTTGGCAGCTGCCCTTGGTGCACGGAAGCTCGTGCCGCCGAGATGTGCCCTAGAGCAAGGAGCTCGCGCTTGTAGCCTTTCCTGCGGTACAACACAAAGTGAAACTGAGTAAGGGCACGTAAAAAAAAAAAAAAAAAATCGGTATTTTCAAATCTTTTTTTTTTTTTTAATTTTTGCGGTAGGCAGAGTGTTAATGAAATGTTTGATGGGCCATGTTGCAAATGCAGCTTTAAAGGGAGCCATCATTAAAGGCCAAACTAATTTAAAAAGTTCGCTAACAAACAACGAGCTTTGAGCGAAAGTAACAAGGCGTTCGTTTTTGCTGTGTTTGTCCGTCCATTTTCGTTTCTTCCTCAAGCTTAATTATCTCTACCAACCCGCTCGTTCTGTCCTGAGATATTCATCGCTATAATTTTGCCTTTCTTCACTTAATTAAAAAAACTGCGCGCTGAAAGCGCGAATGAGGTTGTGCTGATATTGATGCGTAGAAGAATGACGCAGTTGTTTCTGTCCCCTCGTCACTAACTCGACAGCGTTTCTTCGGTGGACTCGCCGGCGCCACACATCAACACGACTAAGTTACTATTCTACGTATTATTTTCATAACGCGGTTTCTGAATCAAGTGAAGAAAGGCAAACTTTTACGATTAATTTTGCGAACCTCGTTGCCTTTTCGCGAATTGTCGAAATTGTGTTTGCCTTTAATAATGACTCCTTTTAAAGCTACAATTGCACCATGGCCAATTAAGCCGTTAATAAACAAGTTAACTAACAGATCTTGGTTCATTATTAAACATTGCAACGGTTATTCACCCATTCATTGTCCACCGAGCCCTACAGATATAACGAAAGACGGCATCCACATATCTGCCACATCCTTTTTTTGTAAGATATGTAAAGTTCTGTAAAGAATAAAACAAAAACACCCTGAATGTCTGCTTGAACCAGATACGCCCCCTGTGGAACCATGGGTGTTTCCCTTCGAATACCCAGCTCAGGCGAGACTTACCTGGTTGTCAGAAAGCAGCTGTCGGTTAAACGTATTGTTGTGAGCCTGTAGGTTTCAGATGGTTTACCCTCAAGAGAATAATGCGCTGCATATTGTAACCATGTATGCGCTGCACATTGTAGCCATTATTTCAATGCCGTGCTGCAAACTATTACAACTTTTTCCTTGCCTGTTCTACGTGTGCTCATGTTTTCTGCTCAAAATGGTGTGAAATAGTTTCTTGTTTTCTTTGAATCTTATAAAGCATTACTTGTTCAGCCCACATTGTCTCAGTTTTTGGACTTAAGTTAAATGTTAAAACGCGTGATAAAAATTGTCACGGCTTATAAGCCATTTCTTACAAGTGAACGTCGGGTGATTCTCGGATGGTCGTGGCAGCCACGAAGAAATAGAAGATTCTCACCCCTTTGCGACCGTCGCTTGGGTGGTTCGTCGCATAAATGGACACAAGAATGAGTGACAAGTGAAGCGAGCTGATTAAGGTCAAGAAAAAGAAGACGGACAGAAAAGAAGACGGAGAAGTTAACCTGGGGTATTAAAAACATACAAAAACAATCTCGAACTTTAGTATGTGCCGTTTCGTTCCGTTATAAAATAAGATAGGAAAAAAAAAAAAAAAAACTGCTTCCGAGTTTTAGATATCCCTTTCAAATATCTAATGTTCGGCATTTACGACCAAGGAAATGGGCATTTCATTTAAAATGCTCACCATCCGACAAACCGAAACCGCTTCTTTAAAGTCGCAATTGTTTTTATGTAAAGGAAGGGTAATGTAGCTTGTACCGTCCAATACACCGAAGCATCATGTTGCTAACGATCGTGCCGCAGCGTAATTGATGCCGCGGTACAACCGCTGGCAGGTCGTAGCTGTATCTGAAATCCTATGTGCACTCCACCAAAGCGGCACCAAAGATTCATATTTTCGCGCGTGCAGCCGCGCATGCGCACACCTTCCGGATAAGGCGCCGGACGCGAGACCTGTCGCGATCAATACCACGCGCTTCAGGCGAGCCCCTTCGGTCCCAACACTACCCAAGTATTCTAGTACACTGTACTACGGCCACGGTGTAGCTACGGCGACATTTTGCTTCCTGCGATTTCTTTGTATTTTCCCTGTGAGCGCGTGCTGTCGCCATCGGGTACTACAAACGATGGCATCATCCAAACAGAAAGACATTGAGGCGCTCTAGTTATTTAGGACTTCAAACAGAAAAGCAGTGCAAGCGGCTTAACTGACATGGCAACTTGTTCAGCATTTTATTTTTGTATCACGTCTGCATTTGGGAGAACTGAATTCGACATATTCATTTCAGGTGAGGACGCACAAAAAGCGTGGAAGCGTGTACGCGACAGGTATGTTCGGGAGGTCCGCGCCATTGAAGCTGCCACAAGGAGTGGCAGTGGCTTCGTCCGGAAAAAACAATGGGCCTTCCTGGAAATGATGTCGTTTGACGAGAAACATATCCGACCCAGGAAGTATGTAAACAAAACATGAGTCCTCATTTGCTGTCGAACTAAATTTCTCTCCCATATGTTAATCCAACTTGCAGGGCAACCACCAACGTAAAGGCACCACCTGTGGGCGACACAGCACAGTGTCTATTAATGGAAATGGTGGAATCTTCTCCTGACGACTCGACTATTCCCACTGACTTCGAGCCTGCCCAAGAAGAGCTGCAGTGCAGCCCCGAGGCTCCTGTCCCAGCCACGCCGTCCACCTCGGTTGTATCAACATCAAGCACCTCGAGGAGGTCATCAGGCCAGTCACAAAGGTGCCCAGGACCCCCCCCCCCCCCCCCCCCCCCCATTCTGCACGCAGAAGGGAGGCTGACACAATGGAGAGAGAACTTTTAAATCATTTAAGGACTAAAATGACACAGAACGAGGCGTTTGCCTACTCTGTAGCACAATCCCTAGATCGTTGGGACGAGGTCACCAGTGCCCAATTCAGGGCTTGTGTAATGCAGATTGTGTATGAGTATGAATGTAAATTTCAGCAGAAATAAAACGCCCCCGACCTTTGTGCATCTGAAGGCACACGTGTCCACTCATGTTTTGATAATATACACATTCTGTTAATATGAACTACATTTTCGAAGAGCAATCTCTGCTTATGCAATTCGACTACATCGTTAGAAAAAAAAAAAAAAGAAACATAATCTGTGAAGCAGTCTATGTTAATCTGAATATTATTAACTCTCTAGTTCAATACTTCCGAATTTGTTCTTGGAGGCAAGCTGCAGGGATGCCTATCACATAAAATAGATTGAAAGAACACCTACAGACATTTTTCAAATTTACCCCAAGCGTCAAGGAAGTGGCTTGGAATGTAGGTACACACGAGTGTGGACGATACCTTGCGCAGCGAGTGTACCTGCAAACCCGGCATGATCTTTAGTGCTTGTGTAAATTAGCAAAATGTCTAGTGCACATCATAGCATCATCTGCTACTCAGACACACAGCCTGTGTCAATACCGTTAATCAAACATGCTTTCTACCCATTACATTCGCTTCGTGGGTGGCACGCATTGCTCGAAACCTGTTTATATTTCCGAGAGAAATGCAAGTAGAAAAGCAGGCTTATCGAAAGCACATCTAGAATGTTATTTTACTCCTTTGTGGTGTAAATGAAAAGATTAAACCCAACTTTTGTAATTAATACGCAAGCTGTCCTATTTTCCAAGTGAGCCACTACTACATTCCTGCGGGTTCACTTAATAAGAAGTCAATCATTTGGTATGCGTGCCTGTATCTCAGTGGCAAGCGAAAAACATGGATGGCCAATATTCCTCGCTTGTGCCAATTACCTCGCTCTCCCCTGTAACAAAATTCACCAAGGTAGGCAGGTAAGCTCTTTGAAGATGAAAACAACGAGGGATTGCGAAATATATTTTGCCGGTCAACCCTGTTAAGCAAGCAGAGCAGAGAAAATATATACAATTTATTTGCAAGGAAAGAAAAAAATTGAACAGCATTGATAACAACCTTGTGTCGTCGTCTACTCCCTCGTCACTATGTCGTGTTGCCACGGGATGGCTCCCCTAGGGGAGAGGAAGTGGTCTGCCAGCTGGTCCCTGATGCTGATTGCTGCTGGGCTGCTGTTGCCACCTAGGCTCCTGTTTACATTCAAAATGTCAGCTCGCCACTGACCATCCACACGGGCACCCCTCCTTTCACTGTCAGCATATCCTGGAGGGCGGTAGGCTTCATCCCGTGTCAGGAAGTTGTGGAGGCAGACTCCCGCTTTTATCATATTTTCACAGTGCTCAACAGTGCCATGCATGGGAGCCAGAAACGCCGGCCAGCGAGACGCAAGTATTCCGAAGGCGTTTTCTACTGTACGCCTGCCCCGGGAGAGCCTGTAGTTGAAGACCTTTTTTCGGTTGTCCAAGCCTCTTCCGGGGAAAGGACGCATGAGGTACGTTTTCAACGGGAAGGCTTCATCCCCCAGGGGGCACATAGGTGGTGCAGGCTCTGCGATTACGGGGATCTGGAGGGTGTTGGCAGCTAACGCCTTTCCGAGGTTAGACTCTCTCAACACACCGCCATCGGACTGGTGTCCGGCAGCCCCAATGTCCACTACAAGTTGACGCCCACTACAAGTCGAAACTTGTAGTGGGCGTCAACAACAGCGAGCAGCACCGTCGAGTAGAATTTCTTGTAGTTGTGAAATATTGAGCCAGAGTTTGGTGGGCACCTGATTGCAAAGTGCTTGCCATCTATTGATCCAATGGCGTTAGGAAAGTTCCACTTGACGCAGAACTCCCTCCGGATCTCTTCCCACTGTTGTGATGTGGGTGGCTGCAGCACTAACGGGGAGAGGCAGTCCCAGATGGCTGGCAGCGTTTCCTGGAGGATCCCCGATAATGTTGCTTTATGCATCCGGTAACTTATGGCCACATGGCCTAGAGATCCTGGTGATGCAAGGAACCTAGAAATGTGAAAAACAAAATTGTGAGACTTGGTACCTAACTCAGAGCAACTGTTTAGTCAGTCATTTGCACTGTTTGCGACTAAGAACGACCTACGAGAGTGCTCCGTCAGACTTATATTGCTATACACGCAATATGTAAATATGTACTAAATGTGTTTGACTGACGCTCTACGATGTTTTGAAATAGTTTCTACTCTAAAACCGCCCGCAAAAATCAAGGGATTGGCGCATGAAGTGGAAATTGATCTCGAATACGAGTTTTACTGTGCTGATTTACTCATTAAAAATTTCAGTCTCAATTTAAAGTGCAAAAAAAAAAAAATGAATGACGATGTTGTCAAATGGGTCAGCCTTTCTATTTAGTAAAATATCTGTTTGATGTAGTAAGTGTTACAATAATACGTTGATCCGCTTATTTATGAGTGTCTCAAAATAAAGTTACAAGGTAGTACTAATGGCCCGTCAAACATCAGCAACAGAACCTATCAAGTTCAAACTTACCTCGAATACATACCTCACTAGTCCCCTTTACATATTACAAATTCAAGTCTCTATTTAAAGTACGAAAAACTTAAAAAGAAAACTTTCCCATTTTAGGCTTTTTTTTCGTTCTAGGAGTTCAGACTTAAAATTTGAATGCGTGCTGTACATCCAACCAGTAAAGGAAGCATTTGAGGTAAGTTTCTACTTGAAACGTCGCGTCCCTAATTTTTGCTGGCGATTTAAGAGCCCAAACTTTATTTTGAAACGCACTGTCAAGATTGGGCCTCTCAATTAAAATATCGGAGTAGATGAGAGCGCAGAAGTTCCCGGTTTGAGGTATTTTAATACGAGTTGGGCGTGTGTACGGTGGTAGTACACCGCCTAGAAGCATAACCTAATCAGTCAAGCATCCGCGAAAATGAAGTGTATATCAAATACGTAGTACATAGAGTGCCTCAATGTACTTCTGTTTTGGGGGATGCCACCGTTTGTAGTGCCCGATGCCGACAGCACGCGCTCACAGGGAAAATACAAAGAAATCGCAAGAAACAAAATGTAGCTTTAGCATAGTCACGCCAGCAGCGCGTGCAGGGACACGCTCTTTCACGCTTGCAGAACAAAAAAAAAATAAGCGTTCGAAACAAAATGGTAAAATGTCATCACCCCAAGCAAAGTGCACATGAAGGCACCCTAGTAGTACATACCTCAGTGTGATGGCCAGCCGCTCAGCGGGCGAGATGGGAGAGCGATGTGTGGGCGAGTGTACAAGACGGTCGTGGACGAGTCCGAGCAGCTCGTCGAATGAAGCCTTCGTCATCCTGCAGAAAAGGAAACGACAGAATTGATTCACTCTGATAAGCGACATGACTATCGACCGTCGCCTTACCTGAAATATTGGAAGTGGTATTCTGAGTCGGACTCGCGCAGCTCCTGTACTAGATGGTAAAATTCTCCAAACACTGTGCGCTTATCAAATATGTCTCGTACGTACATCGTGCGTGTTCTCTGGCGCCGTATTCGGCGCCATAAAAGCACCGCTGCAATTTTTTTCTTTCTTTGCTGATCTAAATACATCGCGAATCGGCTCTCCATGGTTCCTCCCGTCTGAACAAGTCAGGACAGAATGCAAACGGAAATGGAAATAAACCATCAGCTTATGTCGCGGTTGTCATGGAGACGCGCAGGCGCAACGCGAAGTGCGCGTCGGAGCGCGCTGGACCGCGATGGAGTATAAATGCCGTTGACCGCAACCCTTTCAGCGCAGCGCCTCGTGTCGTTGTTGACGACGAACGCCGGCGCACGTCACGTTCGTCGACGTCGGAGTATAAACAGCCCTTTAGTCCCTACAGGTTCTGCAGCGTGAGCTCCGTGCTTTGAACGGAGCTCGCGCTCGAGCATTTCTCCGCGTGCTCTGATCTGCGGTGCCACAACTCACTCGGTCAACCACACTTCGTTTAGCCCACGGTGGTTTAGCATGTGAGCTAAACCAAATGAGCTACGCTTAGAGTATCGGCAATTTTTCCCCTGATATTGTCATGGGCGCCGCCATCTTGGTGGTTAGTAACAAATCAAACGCAACTGCCGATTGTCATGATTCAAAAGTGCGACTTCCTCAGCATTAGTTTCGGTGTCAGGAAGCTCACGTAATATTGCCTTGCTTTGTCGCGAACTGTTTATACATTCGTGGAGGACGGAAAAGCGTTTCCTGTGATTTCAGATAAAGCTTCAGATAACTGACAACCATCATTTTAAGCACCAAGATCTGTATGAAGCGTAGCTTCTTTAGTGGCTCTAGTTTAGCCCGACCGCATAGGCACAGAAAGAGAACGAGCTGCTTAACTTTGCGCTCTTGGCGCTGCTTCATCAGCCCGTAGCGTTGGCTGCGCTACGAACTAAGATAAAGCAAAGAAAATATTCAGATCTTAGGGTTTCACAAGCCAAACCAGCAAAAATCACTTAACAGGCCCCAATAATAATAAAAAAATAAATAAAAATGCGGGTTCATTTTAGTGTTGGGCAAAATACTCAATAAAAGTATTTAACCTAAATTACTAAATACCTGCTTCATAAAGTATTCAAAAATACTACTCAAGTTACTTTCACTGTAAAGTGTCTTGAGTAGAGTACAAATACTTGGATTTTTAATTCAATTACATTTGAAGATCCACATTGCGCAATTGGTATCGACGACAGTGACAACAACAAATATACAGTTGCGCAAATCTGGTTTACCAGAATGGTTTATTAGCACGCAACAACACAAAATTGTAAAAAAAGAGAACAAATAAAAAACATCGTAGGGTTATTATTCTATGCATTTGAACTATAAGGAGCGTTATATCACTGATACATGTTACAAAACATTTCTGGGACAAAAAAAAGTCATTTCAGTTATAATGACATCGTTGAATATCACGTCCTGCGGCGCACCATAGATGCATCGATTAACTACAATCCATATTCCCTATATAGGAAGTTGACAATAAACGAAGTTGGGATACGGAAATGAGCGAATGGATAACAAAGAGCCCACATAATAGCCACAGCACTGGTCACGCCTTCGTCAAGTAGGTTGCGTTCAGAAAGGCACTCAACGTTGGGGGACGCTTTGTTTACATTGTGAGAGGTCATCCTGCTTCTTGTTCGTTTCCTGTCCTGTTCTCTGCTTATCAATGTTCGCTTACAGACAGTGTACGCGAGAGCAATAAGTGCCGGACTGACGAGAAAAATAGAATTTAAAAAATTAAAAACCTTGACGTGTTTCGCCCTAGCAAAATCAAATATACAAGCAAAAAAAAGTGTCTTCATGTCCACTTTTTATTTTCTTCTCTTTGTTATTTTCTTGACATTAAAGTCTGCATTACTGCTGCGGGTTGTTTGCCTTTCTGTGTTGCGCCTTAGTGGGGTAATCTCTACTTCCGTAAAAACTCCCCTTTTGTTAGAGGCCATTTGGGAGAAACTCTGGGAAACAAAACGCGCCTTTGGGCAGGCGAGAGGAAAACCTTCACTGTACGAGCTTCGAGGTAAAACATTAGTCACAAATCGGCACAAAATCTATCTTTTCACGAGCTCAATCTAAGTCACCGTAGCGTATAGGAGCTAGCAACAGGATTTGGATACTCAAAACAATGTTCACGTTTGCTCGTGCACGCCACTCACCGCCCTCACGCCCCTCAAGCATTCATGGCCCTCACACCCCTCACGCATTCACCGCCCTCACACCCCTCACGACCTTCACGCACTCATTGCCCTCACGCCACTCGCCGCCCTCACGCACTCACCGCCCTCACACCCGTCACGTGCTCACGACCCTCACGCCACTCACCACCCTCACGCCCCTCACGCACTCATGGCCCTCGCACCCCTCACGCACTCACCGCCCTCACACCCCTCACGACCCTCACGCATTCATTGCCCTCACGCCACTCACCACCCTCAAGCACTCACCGCCCTCACACCCCTCACGCACTCATGGCCCTCACGCCTCTCACCGCCCTCACGCCCCTCAAGCATTCATGGCCCTCACACCCCTCACGCCCCTCACGCACTCATGGCCCTCACGCCACTCAGGCCCGCTTCAGAGGGGAGAGTTTCGCCCAGAAACTTGACGTCGCAACACCAGCAACACGGGCCGCCCGCGTTCACACGCAGCAACCAATTGCTGCGATTTGCCGTCATCATCATAAAATTTTATTTTTCTTGCACTATTTAGACCCAGTTACGCGCTATAAACGTGTTTTTATGCATTTAATTCTCGTTGAGAATACTAATGCATCTTTCTGAAACAGTTTATTTCCAAAAACGATCAATTTCAAACCAGAACCAACTCTTTTGTTGTCATCATCACCGGCACGAGGTATCACGTGAAAATATCGCGTCCCTGATTGTATGCAGCTGCTTCAAAAGTCTTCAAATTGTTCTGAATTGCTGGCTTGTTTCAACCCGGACCCGATCTCAGCCATTCGTGTCGACCTAGGAAAAGCTAGGGAACAACCCGCCATCAACACCAAAATTGCTGAGATAGTTGCTCTGTCTGAAGAGGGCCTCACGCACTCACCGCCCTCACGGCCCTCTCACACTCATGGCCCTCACACCCCTCACGCACTCACCGCCCTCACACCCCTCACGCACTCATCGTCCTCACGCCACTCACCGCTCTCACGCCCCTCACGCACTCAAGGCCCTCACGCACTCATCGCCCTCACACCCCTCACGGCCCTCACGCACTCATTGCCCTCACAGCCCTCACGGCCCTCACACTCATGAATTTTCCTGGTTCAGAAACTCACTCACCCTCACCTTATTTGTGAAGATGAGGATGAGTGAGGGTGAGTGAGGGCCCTCATGAGTGAGGTTTGCCTAGGTATGGCGGTGGGCGATCATTGGCCGAGTATGTCGGCGCACCGCAGATCAGTTGGAGAAATGCGCGGGCGGGAGTTCCATTCAAAGCACCGAGCTCACGTTGCAGAACCTGCAGGGACTCTGGGTTCAATTGCCCATCTGCATCGTGCCAGCGTGCGATCGTGTATCACTTCTGCGCAATGCACGTTAAGGCCTCGAGCTGACGCTTTTACAGCACTGACTAAATATATAGAGGTTTTCTGTTTCCTGTCGTTTTCAGTCACCTGGGTTCCGTATCTGGTATGCGGGACGAAAAATAATAAAGCATTTCAACCTGGAATATGAGGGGAAATATAGGTGAGGCAATGCAAGAATATGTGACAGTCACGCATTTTCTGTAAACTCCTTCCTGTGGCGTGGAGAGATCAAAACGATCTTTTACCGCATACCAGAAGTGACGACATTCAAGATGGCTGCGCCCTTGTGGAAAAGTTGTATAATATACAAAGGGTAACAATGTCGCCGTATGAAACTCCTGCTGTCTGATAAACTAACGAGTAATTTTTAATGCGCCGTGACATTTCATTTTTAATGTGTGTTCGCGTGTTCGCGTTTGATAATGCGGTTTCGATAACCTTTGATTATGCGGTTTTTACTTACGATGAAACAGAGCATAGTTGTCGGACTTGTGGGAAAATATTATATAAATAAGAAAGTGTCACGTTAACGGCAAAAGACAAAAATACATGGGCGCACTTATCAAGAAAAAGGAAATAATATGATTGATTACTATTATCTTTTAAATGCGAAAGCACTTCACACCTAAATGAAGATAGGTCTGAGCGTACCAAAAGCTCTAAAAGCGAGCTCCATGCTTTGAACGGCTTTACCGAGCACGTGCGCTTCTTCACAGAAAGAGCAATTCATGGCAGCATGCTCTCGCTTGTAGCTTCCGTTTCGCTCGCACGGTAAAACGTAATACTTTACTGGTAAAGTTTCTGGTGGAACAAAGCTTACCTTTTGCAAATGTGCAATCCTTCAGTTTTCACGTGGCTACAGACTTGCTTATCATTATTGTTTTCGTTTCCAGCTTCGATATAGCTCGTGATCCTATTGTGTGTGACATGCATTAAAGACCATGGTAACCCAGGAGCAATATATTTCGCGGATTTCAAAAAAACCTATTCTACTTGCCCCGTGTGCCACAATCAAGAGATAATTTTCTACACTTCACATGTCGTCGCTTCCGTGAGTAAACAGTATGGTTCGTAAAGAACAACTCTAATTGTATAACACCGCAGCTTGGGCTAGTTGGTTTCCCATAATTTGTACTTCACAGCGTATAAACAGGCAAGCACTCACTCAAGCACAGACAGAAAAACATACACACAGCGCTGTGCGTATGTTTTTCTGTCTGTGCTTGAGTGAGTGGTTGCTTGTGAGACGTTTATGCGCTGTGAAGTACAAATTATATAATTGTATAAAATGACGCGTTAAAGGGGAAAAAAAAGACTCGTCAGCACACGACTTTTGGTATCTAGTAAAAGTGAAAGTGAAATTTTATGGGGATTTTCACGGGCCAAGCCCGGTAGGGGGGTAGTAGCAAAAGGAATTTCGGCCTGACTGGGCCTCTACCCC